TCTAACTAGAGGATGGGGTATGCCTCCTGGGCCAACCTGTGCGTGCAAGTTAGCTTGCGAACCTATGAATGTGGTTATTCGATCTAGATAAGCACAACCAGCATAGATTTTTCGACAACCAGCATAGATAAGCTATAATGTGTTGAAGAAAAAAGTGCACTTAAGAGAAACATATCATTATAATGTGCATTCACAAGGCAGGAGATCTATATTAGCAGGTAGATCATGGTCTTACAGAGTGGATGCCAGGGCACAGTCATCTATTGAAATCGAAGCCTAAGATACTCCAAAAGACGGTCGATGTCCAAAAGAGAGGCATAGTTCATCCAATCATCACAACAAAGGGATATCATGTCTTAGAGATAAGCTAAAAATGCTAGATGGATGATATTCATAGGCAATGGAAGGGGCTGATGGCATTGCGTCCATAGACGGTGGACGGTGAGAGAAAGGTGGTGCCGGTCCTCACGCTTGAAGTGGAAAGCGCAGATGTCACCCTTTTGGATGTTGGCGTCATGGCGAAACCACGACCAGTTGATCGTGATGGTGGCCCTCTTGTTGGTTCCGAAAATGAATCGGGCGTCGCAGCTCACGGTGCCATCTGCATTCTTGAGTGGGAGGGTGTCATTGTCTTCCTAAATGTACTCCTGCATATTGTCCTTTGTGTACTCCACCTGAAAGTACTGTCAAGAGAAAGAAAAACAGTTAGTTCATGGTAGGACTGCTTGTCAAATGCTTGTCAAACATTACACTTGTACTAACAGGAAGATATAAGAACTACGTAATATTTAGTCAGTTGGAACAAATGCAATAAAAACTATTATGCAAAAGATAGTTGAAATAATGTCATTGAGTATAATAGAGTATCATAGTGAGAAAGATTGCCGGTGAAAGAAAATTGGCCTTAGAGATAAACAGAGCAAATCAAAGTTGTATTTGTCACATACAGAGTAGGCATGGTAGTAAAGCATGAGTAGTGATGTTGAAATAATAAAGTGATAAGCCCAGTCACATAGTGGTACTTAAGCAGCATGTCTTCTGTATGAAAAAACAATAAAAAGTAGCACTCCATCGTATGAAGTTATAAGTTTCTACATCGTGAAGTTATTGAATTCATGCTCCAGACAGTTGCTCCAAAAGTCCCAACTGATGAAGAGAGGTGGGCAATATATTTCAACACTCCCCTCGCGTCTAGGCTATGTTAGTCCTTAAATGTGGATTCGATGTATACTGCGTTGGCAGGGTCTTGAACTCAAGACCTCTTGGCTCGGATACCATATTGAATTCATGCTCCAGCCAGTTGCTCCAAAAGTCCGAACTGATGGAGAGAGGTGGGCAATATATTTCAATAGAAGTTACTAAGAATTTTTTTTATGAATAGCAGGCTGCATGTTTGAGGATACCATGCGCTGCCCTGGTTTGGCAAATGTCTTGTTAATGGTGCAGACGTAGTAGTCGATCTTTGGCTTCTTGTGCCAAAACATTGCGAAGAGCTTATCCACATGATGTTCATAGAGCTTCACTTCATTGCCCCAGAAGCAATGGTCCTCTAGCTCGCCAAAGTACTTGACACCGCAAGGCGTTCCTGCATTTGTTTTGTGTTTTATGTCAGGCGCGCCGCCAACAGAAGCGAGATATTGTTTTGAAAGGACTCTGTGTGTGCTTACCACGACTGATGTAGTTCCAGGGCTCATGTTTGAGGTGTTGTGCATGTAAGTATGAAATTTGAATAATTAGAAATAAGCTAGAATGGAAAGAGACAAAAGAAAAGTTTCTAATTTAGGTGCTGCTATATGAGCAAGTTAAATGCAACAGAGGGTGTATGCATAATCGCATATCAATAGACAGTGAAAAAAAAGGCAAATTTGATTCACAATTATGAGCTGGTGATCAATACTTCTCAGGTTAACATGATTAAATCAGGACGTAAGTACGACAATATGGTTGTTAGAGATACAACGACAGTAAACATATATGGTCTAAAGGAGACACTTGACAGAGGCTGCAAAAAAATATCCCCGGACCACTCACCTGATTGGCAACATGAAAAAACAAAAGAAAGAGGGCACAATATAACAAGAAATGCAACATAAAAAAACAAAAGAAAGAGGGCACAATATAACAAGAAATGCAGAGAACATCAGTAGAGACGAGCACGGTAGCAGCATCAAGCTGAGAGGAGTACCTGGTGGTGGCAGGAAGGAGGCGAGTCATTGGGGTCGGGCGGATCGGGTATGCCTCTTGATTCCATGTGGTACTGTATGAACTGGACTTATCTCTCTCAGCATTATAGGTTGGGATGGATTTGAAATAGCAACAAACAAACAAATAGATTTCATTCAGAATAAAGATGTGCCTAATGAGTGAATATGCACCTAGTCAAAATAATCAGCAGATGCGATGTGAGACAGAGCAAAGAGGGATAGGATGGGACAACATATAAATTCAGAGAGAGTAAGGATATCAAAGTATGTGAGTAAGCAATACATGAAACATCATTGAAGTAAGCAATAAAGTAATATTAGAAGTCTGAAGAATTAATACAAAAAAAAGGAAAAGGAGCCACCTCCAAAAATGTCTTTTAGCATAACATGTAATGTGCAGAAGACCAGCAGATAAATAAGAGGATAGATAACTACAACGAATCATCTAGAGAAGCAAGTGTATTCTCAGCTAAAATTTGATTTAACACATAACATTTACGAAATAGACAGGGCTAAAATAGACAATTTCCCCTAAAGTAGAAGAATACCTAGTAAACAAAGCACCCTACCTGTGGTTCCATGGTTGGTATTGGTCCATGATACTTAATTTTACAAAGATCAACAATCTCTGAACATGCTATATTAGACTCCCAACTTTCTTTTTTGTGAAAGCATCCTCAATTACTGAACATTTGCATAAGAATGGAGTCCAACTATGAAAACATGTTCGAAGAGCAACAATGGTTCCTTAAATTGATTCTGATCCTACAAGGGACGTAAAAAAGTAGCTTTAAAAATGGAAAGTTCATGCTAAGTACAGATAAAAATGCAAGAGAAACTAAAGGAGCAGGTGAATGTAGCTATGTCTCAAAGCCCTCTCTATAAACTTAAAAGTACCGGAGAAATTGCACACACTATCCAGGAAAGCACTCTTGCAGTTGTACATATGCTCTCAAGGAAACATTGTTACATATTTAGCAACTATATCCAAGCATTAAGAGATAACTTCGCTTTGGCTGTTCTGCAATCACACACTCAAATACCTCAAAAATATTTTGTTCATGGTATGCCAAATGTCCTAAGAGAATGAAAAACATCATCACGCATCAACTGCTTTGCTAAGAGTATGCAAAATTTCCCAAGTAAGGCCCCAGACAATGAAGTACAGTATAGTAATTTGATCATCTGCTTACCAATCTGACCGGTGACTGTTGTCGAACCGTATTTAACAAACAATGAAATAGGAGAAGGAAGTGTTAGAACTCCATCTGTCAGCTGCTATTTTACATCTTCTTTCAGTGTGAACCTGGACATTCTAAGTAGGCGAAGACTTTCAAGCTATTTGCATCAATTTACCATTTCAGCTATCATCAATCTATGCAGATTACCCAGTTAGACAAAAGTTGCATCCGAATGCACAAGTATGATGAGCAGGATTGAACAAAACTACAGTCATTGTACCCGCACCTTGGCGTGGATATGGTACCACTGCCGCTTCTGGTTCGCCATAGGTTCAATGTTCACGGTAGTGGCGCAGCAACTGCTCCCTGGGCTCCTCTCGGCGCTTCCTCCACCTCCGACGGGCCCCCACTTCCACGCGCTGCATCTGATGCCAGAACGGCTCCAAGCTTCTGGTCCGCACGTGCCGCGCATGCACCCTGATTTGCGGCACACGCGACGACGACGACCCGGGCAAAGGCGATGCCGACGCGAACCTGGACCTCGAGCCCTCCATCACTCGCGAGCCTGCTGCCCCGGCGGGGCCCCCAATTCCCCACCTCCTCCTTCGCGCCCCAAGTGCGCTGCCCCGACGGGACGATAGCTCGCGGCGTCGCCCGCCTTCTCGCTCTTGTTGTCATCTTGCCGACGGGGCCGTGGGGAGGAGCACCGTCGCACCTTGCTACGAGGTAGTTCTCACCATGCTCATCGTCTGCCGTGTTGTGCATAGTGAAGAGAAGTGACGCAGCGGTCATGCCCGGAGTGCCACGGCGAGGATGCCGCAAAGCCATCCAGACCCGTCTCTCTCTCGAGCGACGCCAGCTGGCTATCTCTGGGATGATCGCCAGCGCTCAGGTCGATGGCGCCCCTGCCGACCACCTCCATCATCTTGATTTGTGATTCGGAAACAAATGGGTAAGAGAAGGCTGTGAGAGAAGGGGAGAGGAGGAGGTGCGTTTTGGCGGAGGTGATTACTGATGAGATGTGAGGGGAGGCGTGGAGACAGAGGGCGTTGCCGTGCGATGCGGATTTGTCTTCATAGGGAAGGAAACGAAGTTGCCAGGAAATTCAATGGACAAGTCGCTGCGTTTTCTTCCTCTCGCTATAAAATCATCGACAGCACAGTGCCTCTTGCCTACGTGGACGTCGCTAGAGAACGCCCTTTGTGCGACTGTTAATGGGTTTAATGATTACAGTCACACACAAAACCGCATTTGCTCAGGATACTATTAGCTCCTGGTCTGTACAAGGCTACCATTGGCTTGCTGTTGTCAGTTGTTTGACGCTACTGAAACTACATGAGTTCGAACCTGTCTAGAGCATTTATTTTTGCGATTTTTTGAACGCACGCTATGATTTTTCGATGTTGAGGAGGAACGAGTCGTCTTCTTCTTTCCGGTCAACGGGCTACAGCCCATTCGAAAGCCCGAAACAGCATCGGCCCACCAAAACTAGTAGCGGAATAAAAACAGGTCAGGTCAGCCAGCGAGAAGGGAGAGAGAGAGACACCGAACGCGAGCGAGCCAGCCAAATCGACCCCCCGTACCCCGAAACCAGCGGCAGCACCACCACCCACCCATGGCCTCCCTGGCGGCGAGATCCGGCCTCCGCTCCCTGGCGGCGCGCGCCAGGGCCCCGGCCCCGGCGCCGGCCGGACGCCGCATGTCCTCCTCCGCCCACGACGACGCCTGTCCGTACACCTCGCGAACCCCCCCTCTCTCTCTTTTGCCCCGCGCCTCCCGATTCGATCGGCCGTTTGACGCGGATTTGGGGATTTTTCTCGTTTGATTGATGATGATGCCTCGCAGATGAGACGGCCAAGTGGGAGAAGATCACCATCATGGGGGCCGTCACCTGCACCCTCCTGGCGGCCTGGAACCTCTCCAAGGGCCACCCCCACTTCGACGAGCCGCCGGTCAGATCTCGTGCCTCTTGGTATATTTCGGGTTCTGTGGTGGCCTTGGTCCGAGTCTGATTTGTTTCTCGTGTTGCAGGCCTACCCATACCTGCACATCCGCAACAAGGAGTTCCCCTGGGGTATGGATTTTCAACTCCCTTTCTTCCCGTGCCCATTTCAATGCCTACTTCTGTAATTTCCTCCTTGATTTGACTGTCTGCGATGTGATTTTTATGAAAAGTGACCTTGTTTGATTGAATGCGATATGCTTTTGGTTAAAAATCATAATATTTGTATGCTGATTGTTCTAATGTATGGCGGCATTTCGTTTGATGGGTTTCACATTTCCTTCTAGGTAGATGGTGTGTTTCATTTATTAGTTGGATTCAGCTGTACATGACTCACTCACTGAAATACTGAATGATGTACTAATAATTTACAAGAATTGTTTCAGTGTGTACTGTAATAAGTGTTTTTGGGGGGTGCGACGGTGTTTAGGTCATTATTGTGCTCTATCCAAGTGATGCCATTTGTCTATCCTGGAAGTCCTCGAAGAATAGTATAAATTTTACTGACCCATTGAATCATCACCTTAGTTTCTGCTCTATGCCACATCAAGCAGTTTATTTGTGACTTCATAATGAATTTTATATGAAAGGATTCGCTTAGCTGGGTTCCCTGAATGTTTGCGAGTCTCTTTGTCATCTTAGGCCTCATTCGGTTTGAAGGATTTTTACAGGAAAAGCATAGGAAAAAAGATTCCATAGGAAAATTTCCTATAGATGCATTTGGTTTGTAGGAAACGCGTACGGGAATTTCATAGAAATACTATTCATTTCCTATGTTTTTTGAGGAATCTACACATCTACTCAAAGCTCATTTTGTGTGTAGGAATGACAGCTTCCTGTACTATTCCTAAATCCTATGTTTTGGTTTCCTCCAAACCGAATGAGGCCGTAACCTATTTAATGAATTTTCATGCTTACACTTTTTAGCATTTGGGTATGAAGGTAAAGAAAGGCATATGATCAATGCATAGTTCCATGTTGGACCGTAGAACTTCTTTAGAAACAAAGTGCAAAGCTCTTCTTAGCTAAACAAGTTCTTAGAATATTAACTGGAAAACTCTCCTTGCACCTTTTGATGCAAATCATTTCAACACATGCTTTGTACACGCTGTGACTGTCTGACCACAAATTTACCGTACTCTGTGATAGAGCTTGAACACAGATTGTACTTGCATCATGCTTTACATGTTCATTGAGCTGTACAAAGTTACAAACTTCTGCTACAGCCTCTTGTTTTGTGGGATGTATTTCTTCAGCCTCTTTTGTGCGTTGCTTTTTGTTTTTGTTGAGCTGAGTGTGTTGCTTATTAGTGCCATTTCTGTGTGCTCAACTACTTACTGTGATTATGTGATCTATTCAGTTGCTACCCCCTGATTCTCTCATGCCTACCATGGGTGATGATAGAATCTAAACCTCTTGATCTGGTAGTATTGTGTTATTCCACAAGGATCATTGCATCTTTGTTAGGAACTCCTTGAAACTTTATGTAATAGATTCATAAAGGAGAGCCATAGTAGAAAACATGACCATAAGTCCATGGTGCAACCGTTGTCATATTTTGAGCATTACAGCATTTACTCAACTACTCAAGTATATTGGTTGAACTATTTTTCCCATCAAAACAAAGATTGTTACTAGGTTAATTTAATCAGATCTTTGCAACATAAAAAAGTTAGGCTATAAATAGTTAGCATGATTGTTGTACTTTTGTGCCTGCTAAATGTTAAGCAGGGGGTTATCTTATTGGTTGCACACTTGCACTTAGTCCCAGTTTATGCTATCTATTATGTTTTGCATATTTCTTATTCTCACATGTCTTAAAATTCTACGTTGCAGGACCCAATGGCCTGTTTGAGGTCAAGCACGACCATTGAGTACTGAATAGTGCATCATAAGAAGTCGGTGAATGCTTCAGTAAAATTCTCTGGTTGTTCCAGTGTTTTTTTTTTTTTTGCATTGCGATCTATTTGTGGCAAGAAATAAGAAAGACAAACTCTTGTGTTGACAATCCGGAATTGGCTGAATTGTGTCTACCCTTTTTTTCATATCAATGATCTATACGAGGCGATTGTCTTGTCTAGCCCAGTTTCACACACCAGTCTTTAATTCTTTATAATACTCCAGTGTAATGCTCTCAGCTATATCGATGAAATTCTGTTCCAATGCTTACGATATTTTCACCTCCTAATGCTTACGATATTTTCTTTTTCTTCCCCCCCCCCCTCTTTTTTCCATCGTTGTCGAAGTGGAGTATGGTTGTTTATGTGGCGAGTAAGATGACATGAGATAAGACGGCCATGTAAAGCAGTTAAAGACCACACAAAACTAGTTTTGGTTCTTATAAACTATTGCTGCAGATCAAATACTGCGATGTTTGCTACTCCCTCTGTAAAGAAGTTGATCTAAATGATCTTATATTTCTTTACGGAGGGAGTATTAGTGAATTTTTGAATTTGCTACCAGCTTTTGGTTCTTGTAAAGTATTGCTGCTAGCTAGCAAAATGCTCAAAGGTAGTTAAGGGAATCTATCGTGTCTAGTGAAGTAAACATGGCTCTGGGGCAATACAAACAGCAGATGTTTTCCAGATTATAACAAACAGAAACACAAGCTAATCTAATACAGTACCTTGTCTGCAAGAGAACGTCGTCTCTGCAGCATCTCGGTGGGCGACATTGCATGAGTTGCCAAGCCGGAAAGTGATGCAGATCTCTGGTGCTTGTTTGCTGCCCCGGTGCGATGAACAAGATATTTGTCAAAAACGACCCCTTTATCCTGGACGTCTGTTGTCTCTAGATATGAGCGGAACTGAATTTATCATGAGTTGCCAAGATGGAGCGGCCTTTGTTGGGAATTACTAACTAATTAGAATAATTAGGGAATAATCCTTGCTTTGTCTAAACCGTCATTGGGCAGGAGTCGCGTTGCTTCACTTGTGACTCTCTGTAAAGGCTACGGATCGTGCCCTTTGGGCATGTATAAATAATTCTTCATCATCAATAAAGAATCACTTTTCATTCTAAACACATTATCAGCATTTGCAAGAGAAAAGGCGAAGGGAGGCACATGCCCTTTGGGCATGTATAAATAGTTCATCATCATCATCAACAAAGAATCTGGTTCATTCTTTAATCACTTTAAATTTTAAACACATTATCAGCATTGGTGAGAAAAAAAGCGACTGGAGGCAGCGTTCTCGACACAGTCCAGGAGACTCTCCCAACGACGGAGCGCTCATTCATGCCATGGCAAGGACCCTCATACGCGCGGCGCTCGACAAAATCCAACTCAAACCCCAGAACATATTGATCTTGACTCTGTCTTCCCAGTCACACCATCCCACATTTCAGGCTTTCAGCTGCATTGAGTTCAGTCACATACAAACGTGGAAATGAAACCAAATGATCTCACATCTTACAACTACAGTATAATTTTGTCCACCACATGGTAGAATCAAGACTTGATCCCACATCTTACAGATATAATCATGTCCATACTACATGCTGCATTGTCTTTTCTCTTCCTGAAATATTTACTTACATATACTTGCAGGTTGCAGCATCAGCTGCATTAAGCTCACCCACATACAAACAGGGAAACAAAGGCCCGCAGACAACAAATGGGCACTACTTTGATCTTACATCTTACAAATACTCCCTCCGTCCCATAATCTAAGACCTTTTTTAACACTATACATTATGGGACGGGAGGGAGTATATACTATTTTCCACATTACATCACATGCTGTACCTTTTCATTTATATACTTGCTGCATCCCTGCATGGCTGTTTCTGGAAAATGCCATATCCTACAACTCTGCATCCATATCTGCGTCTCCATGTTCCCATATCAGTGCTTCTTAGATGGCTATGTCTAGAAGCATAGAAGTCAGACAATTAAGAACTGTTATGATGCAGAGACAAATGGAGAGAAAAGGGAACAATGAGACAATCAGAAACATCGTATATAACTCATTTTTATAGATGTGTTATCACTCACTCCTTACAGTGGTAGCAATAGATTTTAAAAAGCCACATATGTTGTAAAATGCAAAGAATATACATAAAAGCAGCATACTTAGCTACCTTCGAATGCAGAATTTAGCTACCAAGAAGAAGAAAACATGTCCTATAACCTTTTTCATGTAAGATCATCCCTTGTCATGTCAAGCAAACAACATTATGCCAAAACAATAAAGTCTAGCAGAAAATTGAATAAAAGGACCCCGAGGCAAGAAATTCAATTTATTTCTATGTCTACAAATGCAACACGCACCAGCAGAAGGGATCATGAACAAATGATAAAATCACAGTTATTTCAGAAAGTATGGATTCAACAGAAGTTGCTTTTATGGAGTTAAGATTAATAACAAGATCAAAACATAGATTAAGAGATAAAAAATATAACCAACTCTGAGGTTTCAAACTTGCCAACTGACTTAAACTCATTTGACATCAAATTTGGTGTTAGATAGGTTTTATCAGCGACAATTGCTTACTCAATACAAGTTATAGGTGAAAATTTCAGAATCACTATCTGTATTCAAGCAATCATGTACAGAACATAACTAGATTGGGTTACTCTATGATATAAATACTAAGGATGAGGAATTACCTGGCGGATAGAAACTTGTGAAAGGATGACAATGTTTCATAGAACGGGTTCCATTAAGTTTCCTGGATTGCATTTGCTTAAGTTCAAGCATGTAGGCACTGTCATCCACATAGAGAATGATCGCATCGTTATCTTCGTCATACCCCAGCACTTTGTCTTGCCACACCTTCCTCCTAATCTGATGAGGGATCCCAAGAGTGCTATGCATTTCAACAGTCTTCTGCAAAAACCATGTGGCAATACCCTGAGAATTAACCACCCTCTGCCAGATCTGAAGGTTCGGGAAGAGGAATATGGCTATGGCTAGGCCATCGGTGCCGTCCTCTGGCTTGATGATCCTATAGTTGCCAGATTCATTCATACCAGGAGGCCCCATGATGACAGCTAGGCTCTGCATATCCAAATCAAACCAAAATATGGCATTACACGAAAGCAGCCAATAGAGTGCATTACCAATAAGGGTCGCGGGAACACTATCACCATGGAGCTCGCATGGATACTTTGTTGATATGATATTGCTCCATGTGTCAGTCTCCGAGGAAAAAACACAGGCGAGTGGTTGATGATCTCTTCTGTGGGACACCAAGACAACCTTGAAAGGGCTGCAATGACAGTGGCCGTGCACATGATTCTGCTCGCCAGCAGCACAGAGCATCGCCCCGTAGAGGATGGACGGCGGCCCGAATTCGGCAGGAACAGCCAGGTAGCGCTGCTCCCCGGTGATGGGGGCGAACACAATAAGCTGCCTGAACACCCGGTGTAAGGCGAGCACGCGGCCGCCACGGCACCCCAAAACTTCAAAGCCGCGGGAGGCCATGCCGAACGGGATGTGGATGCGCTGAGCAGGGATACGGTCGGGAGGGTGCAGGATGTCCTGGTTGAACACGATCTTCCGTCGGCGCTCGAAGAAGCCGAGCAGGGGCGGCTTCCAGCTCCTGCGGCGGGCTTGGAACTGGCAGATGAAGTTGGGGTCGGTGGCCAGGCCTCGCCAGCGCCTGGAGACCAAGGATGCGAGCAGGCGGGACGACGGCTGTGGGGGCAGAAGGAGAAGGATCTCCCAAAGCATATCCAACGGCAGCGACTCGCACGGGGCGGGCGGACGACGGCCGTCGTTCCGCGGCGTATCGCCGTCGCCCGGCAGAGGGACAGGCGCCTCCGGAGAGTTGCGGCGGCGGCGGCGGCGGCGATCCTCGCTCGCCCCGATTCGGGAGCGGCGGCGGCGACCGGGGCGGACCAGCCCCCCGTCCTCCTCGCTTGCCCCGATTTGGGAGCGGCTACGGCGACCGGGGCGGGTCACCCCGATCTGGGAGCGGCGGCGACTGCGGCGAGTGCCGGGCATTTCGGCGGCCTCCTCGCTCGCGCCGATTTGAGAACGGCTGCGGCGGCGGCCGCCTGGGGAAACCCCGTGGTAGGTTTTCATTCTGGTGGCGGTTTTTATTCGGTCATAGACGACTCCGGCGAGCTTTCACGGCGGCCCGTTCAATCGGGCGCCGCCAAGGTGGTGGGTAGGGGTTAGGGTTTTCTTTTCCGTTCCAAGGGGATGACACTGCTACCAAGTTCTACTCTGGAGGCCCCACCTGAAGACTAGCTGCGCCGTTGTCTTGCTGGGCCAAAGACCCACAACACCCTGAAAGCAAGTTGAGACAATTATCTCCAGGTTTGGCCTCATTTTGGAGGATTTTCATAGAAAAACACAAAAACAAGGATAGATGCATTCGGTTTTGTAAGAAATGCTTACAGGAATTTAGTGGAAATACTATTCATTTTCTGTGTTTTTAGGAAACTACACATCGCATCACTCAAATCTCATTTTTTTGTGTAGGAACAAGTCAAAGACAACTCCTTAGAATGGTAGGTGTCATCCTATCAAGTTCTTGTACACTCCTAATTCCTACCTTTTGATTTTCTTCAAATTGAATGAGCCGGTGTTAAAAGATACTGCTAAACGAAATGTAGCACCAAGCAATGGCATGATGATTTTGACATACCGACCTTGATAGGACCGGGGCCATCGAAGGGTCTAGCCGCCTAGGGGAGTATGCGCTGCTGGCACAAATCTCCAATGCTGACCCTCAAAACGGGCACGGTATTTGTCTGTAGATTGATCCAAACCAGTCCACGGGCAGTGACGTGGGAGGCCTTGTCCCCTAATTTTTTTGCCTCTTTTCAAAAAATATACGCGAGCTCAATATAGTGGCATATCAAATCACTGAAGATTGAAAATATTCAAATGCAACAGTAGTTCTAATTTAAATATTACAA